CTCCCTTCCTTCCGCCGCGCCCTCAAGACATGGCTGTTCCAACAAGCGGGACTGGCCTAGGATAATTTTTAAGAGGGGTTTTTAGAGGGGTTTTTAATTACATTTTAATTAGACAATTTAAATATTTCATTTTAATTAATTTTAACTTGTGATTGTTAGTGGTGTTTTTAATTGATTGTCAGCCGCCCTGAGTCCGCAAAGAGAAGGGCGGGATATAAATTCAAATAATAAATAAATAAATAAATAAATAAATAAATAAGTATATAAAATGTTTTATAGATTGCATATGACACCAGTTAGATTAGCAAAAATGTTTAAAAATGCATCAAATAATCGTTGGAAATGTAAACAAAAACCAGGTACTTACTATCATATCTGGTGGGTATGTCCTAACGCTAAGAAGTTTTGGTTTAAGATTCATATATGGCTGGAAAAGATGACTAAAATACAGATAGAATTTAAGCCAGAACTATTCTTGTTGGGAATACTAGGACTTAATTATGGAAAAGAGAATGAATATTTAATATTACATGTATTGACAGCTGCTAGAATAGCATTTGCCCAATTTTGGAAAAATGAAAACTTACCATCTGACCAGATTATAATTACAAAAACTTTAGAATGTGCAGAAATGGATAGATTAACCTTAGAGATTAAAGAGAAAGAAGACTCAGTTTATTTCAAAACATGGGGAAATTTTTTATCAATGGTTAGCAACACGATCTAGTGAGTGAAGACTATGAAATTTAAGAGGATGAATGATATCTACTGACTAGTTATTATTTTTTATGATTATCGCTATTGTTATTGATTATAGTTATTTACTATTACATTAATTACTGTTATTTAATATCTGTATCCGGACGACAGTCTGCTTGCCAAGGGGTGGAATTATTGCTGGGGGTAAGCCCATTTTTGTACCTACCCTTACCCAAACCCCACTCCTGAACCCTACCCTACCCAATACCCATACTGATCCTTACCTTTGTAAAACTTAATAAAATATTTATATAAAAAATATGAAATAAAGATTTTTTAAATGTCCCAATTTTTCCATTTCCCAGCAGAAAATCACAGGCAGCAGTTTTAAATCATGCAGCCTAAGGATAATATCATTTGGAGAAGAGAAAGAATATGCAGCATCACCCATGTTTCGGCTTTGCCCCTTCGCTGCTTCCACACCGCGGAGGAAAAGAAACAGCCCGACTTGATCCCGGCTTCGCCTCCGACCTGTCCTCCACTCACCTCCCAGGAGCCGCTTCCACCCTCGAGACAGCGGAAGAGGCACCAGTGACGCCATTCTCCTCCCATAAGTGAGCCGAAAGAGGAAGTTCCTCTGCCCTTCCCCCAAAGTCCCGTCTAGCAATCCAATCCTCTATCGTTCTAATTTGTTCCAGCTCAACCTCCCTCCCTCCCTCCCGTTCTCTCACAACCTGAGAACTACCTATATTTCTTTTCCAAGCTCAGGAGAGGGCTGGAAGAGTCATTTTCCCTCTTCTGGACAGTTGGCATCCTGGCCAGCTTCATACCTTCAACAGCAGTTTGCTGTGCATAAGAAAATCATGAGAGGCTTTCCTGGCAGAGGAGTTCAAGGCATTGCTGCAGATTAAGACCTTTTCTCAGTGCAGCTGAAGAGGGGAATGAAAGGCTGGCAGCCTGGAACTTCAACTCACCCTCTGCTTGCAGCTCTGACTTTGCCATCTGGAGAAAGGGCTGTGCAGGAGGACACCTGGGCCCTTCTCAGTCTGGGTTCAGGCCGGGACACATCACCAAACTGGCATTGGTTGCAACTCTCATGGACTTTTGGAGGTCTCGGGATAGACGGGGTGCAACCATTATGTCCCTCCTAGACCTCTCATCAGGTTTCAATACTGTATCATCGACCATGATATCCTTCTGAACAGACTTTGGGGACTTCTGTCTCCATGGCTGGTGTAGGATTCATTATCTAGTTGAAATACACAATCAGAAGCCAAATGTTCCAAGAGAAAACAGTGGTAATTTATTTGTACTCCTTTGCAAGGGGGGGTTGCTCCTTGTGCATGCAAGCACACAGTGGACACAACGCAAATCTTCAATATTTGTTCTTTGTATTCCCCCATTGCTATTACAAATTTACCTCCCGCTTCTCCTTCATTGGCTTAGTAATCATGCTGTAATCATGTCATCACAACGTATCCAGAGCTTCTAAAGTGAATATATTATCTCCGCCTCCAATTACTTATCCAATTCCCCTAATTCTATGGCCCCTGGCCCTTATTTACGAATTACCTTTTAGGGCTGTTAGTTCCTAAGGGTTTTTTCTAAAGTTGCTATTATATCAGTAAATTCTAGTTAGGAACGGTTTTCAGCGTAGCAGAGACTCATGAGATTAAAATATATACAATTTATTTGCTTCACAGACTAGCATGTCTTCTCAATAGTTCTGTAAAAACAATAAGCTCTTTTTCCCACACTGGTTCCTCTCGGTATGGAATCGGGCCTCTTGTAATTCAGGAGGCCCCTGGAGAAAAGCCTTACACTGCTGCTTTCTAACATCTACATGAAATCAATAGGGGAGGCCATCCATCCTATGATACCCCATTATGTACAGGTAGCCCTGGACGTATAACATTTCATTTAGCGACCATTTGAAGTTACAACAGTGCTAAAAAAAAATGACATGACCATTTTTCACACTTACAAACCATTGCAGCATCCCCCTTGTCACGTGATCAAAATTATGACACTTAGCAATTGACTCATATTTGTGAGTTTGAGTGTCCTGGGGTCATGTGATCTCCTTGGGGATGCTCCTGGACTCATGGCTCCTGCTTGAGATCATAGTTTGGGCTTTGCAGAGATTTATCTGGTGCGCCAACTGTGTCCTTTCCTAGACCAGGGAGGCCTTGCACAGGGCTCAATCATGCCTTGGTCACCTCCAGTTTGGATCACTGCCCTGGACCGGAAACCTCTAACTGGTCCAGAATGCCCCAACGCACAAAGTAATGAGGGCCTCTACATTGCCCATATCATATCCTTGTGGTGCGAGCTGCCGCAGGCTTTGTTTCTTTACAGGTGCAACTGAAGATGCTGGTCATCACATTTAAAGCTATTTCTTTATTGTAGCAATTGCACTTGGAATTAATACACCACCCCACTGTGCTTCATAGCACTCTTGGCTTACAGTGTCAGCATATTCTCCCCAACAATCTGGGTTCTCATTTTACCGATCTCAGAAGGATGGAGGGCTGAGTTAACTTCGAGCTTCCTCAGGGTCGAATTCCAGGCTGTGGGCAGAGTCAGCCAGCAATACTGCATTCTGACCACTGAGCCAACAGGGCACCTGTCAGTAATGTTCCACTTTATTATTTCTGCATCTATCTGTTCTGTCAAGTTAGGGTGGGCATGCACCTAGCCCCTTCCCTTCACTATTGCCGCCTGATAGGAGCTAGGAAGTGAGCCTTTTCCGCTGCAGATCCTGCCCTAAGAGACACTCTTTCACTGTCCCAACACAGCAGTTCCCCTTCATTGTGTAGAAGGGAACGACCTCACTGGGCCAGAGAAAGGAAGCTCAGATCTTATCCCTCCTGTTTGATACTAAAACACATTTGACTAAAAAGAATATGGCAAGAAATTAAATGGTCAGTTTCTCAGCTGGCCTTCCAATTAGAGAAAAGAAATGAAATTCAAGATTTCTCTACATACATCAAATTTTGCCTGTGTAATTTCTTGTGTGTGGAAAGGGTAGAATAACGTGTGAAACATTTTCCGCAATCTGGGCATTTGAATGGTTTCTCTCCTGTGTGTAACCTTACATGATTTATAAGGCTAGACCTACTACTGAAATCTTTCCCACAATCCGGACACTCATACGGCTTCTCTCCTGTGTGAGTCCTCTGGTGTATCACCAGCTGAGAATTCCATCTGAAATTTTTCCCACAATCTACACACTTATATGTTTTTTCTTCTGTGTGAATCCTCTGGTGTATCACCAGGTAGGAATTCTGACTGAAACATTTCCCACAATCATAACATTTATATGATTTCTCTATGTGAGTAGACTGATGTTTTACCATATCACATTTCCAAGAGAAATCCTTTCCACAATCTGGGCACTCATAAGGTTTCTCTCCTGTGTGAGTTTTCTGGTGTCTAAACAGGTAGGAATTAAGCCTGAAACTTTTCCCACAATACAGACATTCATATGGTTTCTCTCCCGTGTGAGTCCCCTGGTGTCTAACCAGGTAGGAATTCCGAATGAAACTTTTTCCACAATCTAGACATTCATATGGGTTTTCTCCTGTGTGCATCCTCTGGTGTCCCACCAGGTAGGAATTTTGACTGAAACTTTCCCCACAATCCAGACACTTGAAAGGTTTTTCTCCTGTGTGAGTTCTCTCATGTACCACCAGGTTGGAATTCTGACTGAATCTTTT